CATGAGAGACTATGGACTCTGAGAAACAAACTGCGGGTTCTAGAGGGGAGGGGAGTGGGGGGATGGGTTAGCCTGGTGATGGGTATTAAAGAGGCACGTATTGAATGGAGCACTGGGTATTATACGCAAACAATGAATCATGGAACACTACATCAAAAACTAATGATGTAATGTATGGTGATTAACATAACAAAATAAAATTTAAAAAAAACAAAACAAAAACCAAAATGTTGGCAACAATTCCTAGACCTAAGTAACAGGTTGCTACTGATGAAGGGCATTTAAAATAATTTTATATTAGATTACCTGTGACCAAAATCTTCTCTAGCTTATTAATTTTGAGAGCAGAAGTCAACTTTTTCAGATACTAGGGACTTTTTGACCGTTAAGTGACATTCAAATATTCTTTTAAAACTTAAGTATAAGTTGTTTTTTAACATGTATGAATTTACAGAAATCTATTCATTTTGTCACCTGCTTGGATTTGTCAGATGGCTGACTGGGGCTACAGCTGGGGGGCGGGTAACCAGCTTGTTTCAGTTGCTGGAAGGTTTCCTGGTTTTACCATTGAAACCCCTCTGTCTGGACAAACCAGGCCGCCAATGAGACTTTAGTTGTAGGCATTGTTTTATGACAAAATGAAGCTGTTGGCCTCCATGTGGATTAATTCTGTAGCCTTTGGCTCTAAAGCAGTTGAGCCAAAGATGCCACCATCTCTTGGTAAGAGTTTAGTTTCTAATTAGGGACTGCTGTGAGAATTGAGAATAAGCAAGAAGGTTGCTAAAACTCTTATGATTTTACCATCTTTTTACAAACAAACTTTTAGGATAAAAGAAAGTTATTTTGTTAACTGAAGAAGGAACCACTTGTTCACTTCTTCCTGTAAGATTAAAAAAAAAAATGAGGCTTTCTGTTAAATTTTAAAAATAACCTACATGGACATAATGAGAAACTTAACCATTTGATTTTTATGTTACCATACCTTCTATTTTAAAGGTGTAGAATTAAAGGAATACATTGGATCAGAACAAGACAAGGATGCCAACTTTTATTCAACATAGTAGCAGAAGTCCTAGCCAGAGCAATTAGGTAGGGAAAAGAAATGAAGGGCATCCAAATTGTAAAGGAAGAAGTAAAACTGTCACTATTTATAGATGATATGACTTTACATATAGAAAACCTTTAAAGATTCCACCAAAAAACTGTTAGAATTAATAAATGAATTCAGTATAGTTGCAGGGTAAAAAAATCAGTACACAAAAATTTGTTGCATTTTTATAATATACTAACAGTGAACTATCAGAGAAATTAAGAAACAGTCCCATTTGTAATTACATCAAAAGAATACGATACCTAGAAATAAATTTAACCAAGGAGATGAAAGTCCTGTACTCTGAAAACCATAAGACATTGATGAAAGAAATTGAAGAAGACACAAATAAATGAAAGGTATTCTGTGCTCATGGACTGGAAGAATTAATACTATTAAAATGTCCATATTACTCAAAGCAATCTATGGATTCAGTGCAAACCCTGTTAAAATTCTAATGGCATTTTTCACAGAAATAGGATAAACAACAATCCTAAAATTTGTATGGAATCACAAAAGATCCCGACTAGCCAAAGCAATCTTGAGAAAGAAGAACAAAACTGGAGACATCATGCTCCCTGATTTCAAACTATACAACAGAGCTATAGTAATCACGGTATGGCATTGGCCAAAAAAAAACAAACAGACACATTGGTCAGTGGAACAGAATAGGGAGTCCGGAAATAAACTCATACATATATGGTAAATTAATTTATGGCAAAAGAGGCAAGAATATACAATGGGGAAGGGACAGTCTCTTCAATTAATGGTGTTGGGAAAACTGGACAGCCACATGTGAAAGAATGAAATTGGACCACTACCTTAGGACATACACAAAAGTTAATTCAAAATGGATTGAAGACTTGAATGTAAGATCTGAAACCATAAAACTTACAGGAGAAAACATAGGTGGAAGCTCGTTGGCATCGGTCTGGGCAGTGATTTTTTTATATCTAACTCCACAGGCAAAAAAGTAAACAAATGGAGCTACATCAAACTAAAAAATTTCCATACAGCGAAGAAAGTCATCAACAAAATGAAAGGCCTACCTACTGAATGGGAGAAGATATTTGCATTTCACATATTTAATAAGGGGTTAATATCCAAAACATAGAACTCACGTAGCACAATAACAACAAAAAAATCCAATTAAAAAAGGACAGAGGAGGGGCGCCTGGGTGGCTCAGTCGTTAAGCGTCTGCCGTCGGCTCAGGTCATGATCCCAGGGTCCTGGGATTGAGCCCCGCATCGGGCTCCCTGCTCCGCGGGAAGCCTGCTTCTCCCTCTCCCACTCCCCCTGCTTGTGTTCCCTCTCTAGCTCTCTCTCTCTCTGTCAAATAAATAAATAAAATCTTTAAAAAAAAAAAAAAAAGACAGAGGATCTGAATAGACATTTTTCCAAAGAAGATATAAATGGCCAACAGGCACATGAAAAGATACTCAACATCACTAATTATCAGGAATATGCAAATCAAAACCGTGAATTATCACCTCATACCTTTCAAATGACTATTATCAAAACAACAAGAAATAACAAGTGTTGGTGAGGATGTGGAGAAAAGGGAACTCTTGTGCACTACTGGTGGGAATGTAAATTGGTACAGCCACTACGGAGAACAGTGTAGGAGTTCCTCAAAAAATTAAAAAACATGATCCATCAGTTCCACTTCTGGGTATTTTGAAGAAAACAGAAACACTAATTCAAAAAGATACGCACCCCCATGTTCACTGCAGTATTATTTACAATAGCCAAGATATGGAAAAAATCTAAGTGTTCATCAATAGATGAATGGATACACACACACACACACACACACACACTGGAATACTGCTTAGCCATAAAAAAGAATGAGGTCTTGCCATTTGCAACAACATGGATAGACCTTGAAGGTATTACCCTAAGTGAAAAAAGAAAAAGACAAACACTGTATGATTTCACTTACATGTGAAATCTAAAAAACAAATGAACAAACAGCAAAACCAAACTCAGATACAGAGAACAGATTCGTGGTTGCCAGAAGTGGGCAAAATGAGTGAAGGGGATCAAGAGGTCATAAACTTCTAGTTATAAAATAAATAAGTTGTGGGGATATAATGTACAGCATAGTGACTATAAGTCAATATTGTGTTGCATATTTGAAAGTTGCTAAGAGAATAGATCTTGAAGGTTCTCATAAGAAAAAATTTTGTAACTTTGTATGGTGACAGATGCTAACTAGACTTATTGTGGTGATCATTACACAGTGTATACAAATATTGAATCATTATGTCCAGCACCTGAAGCCAATATAATGTTATATGTGACTTACACTGCAATTTTAAAAAAAAGAAAGGAAAAACAAGATACACAGAGAACTAATGGAAAAAAGGATATAGAGAGGCATCTGTGCATCCTGAATAGAAGTAAGCCATTCATTTGAAATGTGAAATGAAACAGAATAAGCCAGCACACTTCTTCCCCATGATGTGGAATATTTCCCCTGTGCCTTTGGAGAGGTTCAGGAAAAGTTATATCTGACTAGGTGTCCTTTTAAAAGTTTAATTTTTAAAGGTTTCTACGTGGACTGCAGAAAAGGACAAAATCATTGTTCATTATGCCAAATGGCATAGACTCATTTACAGGGATGACATTATAGTTTTTATATAGTATAGCTGCTATGATTAATGGGTTTTAAATGACATTTTTCCCTTGGGGGATGAGGCTTTCCCAGAAAAAATCCAATTAATTTCTTCATTACTTAGGTTAAAGTCAATACTGAAAGACTTCTTATGGGAATAAATGGCTTTGATTTTTCTCTCTAGAAACCTAGCTCTGTCCGCATTGATCAACTGGATCGTGAACAGTTCAACCCCGATGTGATTACTTTTCCGATTATCGTCCACTTTGGGATACGCCCTGCACAGTTGAGTTATGCAGGAGACCCACAGTAAGATATTTCTCGGTGTTTGTCTTAGCCAATTTCACCTTCTACTAACAGCTGAATTAGCAAAGGAATACCCTTTAGTGGATGTTTTCTTATTAAAAAATTAAGACCTGAAATGAACCATGTTTCCAAATTTAGGTTACCAAATGAAACAAGTTTTGGTAGCTCCTGAAGAATTATTTTCTCTCTTGATTTGACTGCAGGAAATTATTATTCAATAGATTATCCTTGGCAATTTTGGTCAACATGAGTCCCGTATATTTTTAACTTTTAAGGAACTTTTCCTTTATTCATCATTATAATATTTATTGTTATTATTATTATTTATTTTTTCAGTGCACTCTAGAGGAAAGTAGCATCATGTTGGTTCCTAGCACTGCCGGATTTATGCAGAATTCTATTTTGGGAGGCATCTTAATAAGAGCTCAAGATCCCATGCAAAGTCAAGGGTTGCGTTGTAAGGAGAAGGCATGACTTCTGACTCTTAGAATTGATGTTACTTTCCACATTTGAGTTTTTCCAACTGGCTTGTTAGTGTTTTTCTGGGAGAAGATGAGGATGTGTGGGAATGGAAATAGTACCATTATATTCTTCAGAAGTGTTTGGATTTCCTACCTCGGTAAACAAACAAACAGTTTCCTGACTTAATTTTTTTTTTTAAGGATTCATAATGGGAGAAAAGGGCATGGGAGATTTTCAATTCATAAATACAATTCTGGCTGATACATTAGAAGAGGCTAAAGGGTTTTGTTCTTTTTTTCCCCCCTTTGGATAAAAGTATGAAGCAGTGAACCAGGCACTGTGTAAGTACTTCTTTCTTTCCTCCATTCTCTAAAAAATTGTTACCAAAAAGGAGAAACCCAGCTAAGGCCAAGAAAGGAGCAGTTTCAATATGACAGAAAATTCGTTGAAAGTCCCTTCTTGTCACAAATGTTAGTAGAATGTGATAGGCTCTCGTGGACTCTCAGATGGCAGGACTGTGTGCTGCTACAGGACTGCATTTCTCTTCATTCCCAGGTCGCTTTACCAGGATCCTTTAGACTGATTATCACATATTTGGCTGCAACAAATATGCTTATTTTTGTCATGGTACATACAAATTGGTGCACAGCATTTGTCTTTTTCCCTCTCCAGTGGAGAAATGGATACAGCTTGGGTATAGCTGGGTATTGGCACAAACGGTGTTCTCTTTTCTAATACTCTCCAACTTTTACTTTCAATGTAGGCAGTTCAGAGACCGACTGTGTCCTTGTTAAGTAAGGGGTCTTTCTTTCAACAACATCAGGAAGTACATATTTAAATAAAATAGGTAATGATGAGAAATGATACATGTTTCTGTTGGTTTTTATGTGTCTTTGGAATTTTTTCCAGAGAGATTCGGGCATATATAGTGACACCTCATTTTCAACACAGATGTATAATTACCAGCTTAATCACTAGGTTCCAGATGACTCTTGGTCATCCTGCCCCACTGCCCCCAAATCAGATCCTTCCTTAGAATGAAGGTTTGTTGCCATTAAGGATATCCAAAAGAATGTAATTTATGATTCAGCAGGCCTATTAAAACAGCTGGTTTTATTGCACTTCAGATTCTCCTACTTTTTGTCTGAGATGTCTGTCTGTCCTTTTCCTTAGGTACCAGAAACTCTGGAAGAGTTACGTGAAACTTCGCCACCTCCTAGCAAATAGTCCCAAAGTTAAACAAACTGACAAACAGAAGCTGGCGCAAAGGGAGGTTGGTATCAAATCCTATTCTTCCGGGATTAATGATGATGTGCTTCAGATTTATTTCAAGATTATTGCATTACACCATACTTCTAGAATAAGATGGAAAAATACTTCTAAAAAAATCATACTTTTCTTTCCTTACATTAGTATACAGATTGATTTTTTTTTCATCTTTTAGTGTCTAAGGGAGCATCCCCCCCCACCCCGCGAAAGTCCTGTTTCTTAATGGATTCCTACCATTGGGAATAAATATATCTTATTGAAATTTTTCAAATTTTACAATTGCTGGGTAAACCTTTTATCATTAATTAGACTGTACATAATATAATTTGGGTCTTACTCAGATTTCTTGGTCTTTTTTTTTTTTTTTTATTCTTATGTTAAGATTTCTTGGTCTTAAGGTCGTAAAAGATTGCCTTCCATATGTCTGTTAGTTTAGTAGGGTAAACTTATTTCATAAGGTTTTATATCGCAAATTTCATATGTTTTACTAATGAGTAGCATTATCCCTGTATTCCAGGATCATTTATGTTTTAGTTCTTAATTCATAATTTTAAAAATAAATGGATTCAGTATCAACATAAATTTTGTCTCATTGAGGTTTTATTTTGCTTTGGGTAGTATAAGAGAGCAAGGCTTTAAAGCTGGGAAAAGTGTTTGAATTCTGGTCCTGTCACTTCCTGTGACTTGAGCCAGACAGCTTCATTATAAAGAGGGAACCAAGGCTAAGGGAGACTGACTGAAATTTTTCTTGTCGTTGCATCTGGGGAAAAGGGTGGTTGTGTGGACTTCTGAGATACTCCATTTAACTTTCCTCCAATGGTATTTGACCTGTAGTAGCCATTTAATCAATGGTGCAGGCAGTGTGATAATTCCTGTTATTATGAATTCCTGTGAGATTTTTATTGGATAAGTGTGCAAATATAAAATTTTTTTTATAATTAATTATTTGAAGAGAGGTTAAAGGGAAGAGTCAGCTCCTGATTATGTCTTGCAAAAGTTTTAAATCATTGTCTTTTTTAAAATAGAATGTACTGTTGCTACAAGAGGTTTTGTAAGGGTTTTGCAAATTAGAAGGCAGCTTTTAGAATTATGTGGGTTGCAGATTAATTTACTGATTGTCTTTCTTAGATGTAAATGCTTAACATAAGGCTTGATACAAATATAATTTTACATGCTGATTTTAAGTCCCAAACATCACATTTTGTTTCTTTTATCAGCAAAAGGGTATTTTTTTGTTTAAACTCAACAGAATGGTCGATTTGGTTTAGATTTTTTCTTATCTAGTTACCAGGAAAGGCGGGCTCATACCCAAGGCTTTGACCATCCTGGCCTTCATTTCAAATAAAATATTGTAATTTGGCATGAAGAGGTTTGAATACCTGAACAAAAGGGTGATATTGAATGAATCCAGCTTATTTTCTAATGCTTGATGTTTGGCTTAATATTGCTTTACAACTGTCAGGTTACTCATCATAATGAGTTCTTTTCTAGGAAGCGCTCCAAAAAATACGACAGAAGAATACAATGAGGCGAGAAGTAACAGTGGAGCTAAGTAGTCAAGGATTTTGGAAAACTGGCATCCGTTCTGATGTCTGTCAGGTGATGATGCCTCTGAGAACACATTTATACCTGTATACCTCTTTCTTTAAAAGGCATCTGCCACTGAAGTTTTCCTAATTCTGTTAAGTCTATAGAACATACTGTCTTGTAGCTATATGGAACGCCAACCATAAATTGTTTTCTGTTGTTTCGGTTTTGTTTTTGTGTCGGTTTTCATGTTGTCTTGTTTAGTTGTGTGTGTGTGTGTGCGTGCGTATGCATGTGCACAGTGGTGGGGTGAGTGGGGGGGCAGTTACTTAGTAATGCTAAATTCTGTCTCTTCATGTTGAGTGAAGGCAAGTGTATTCTTCAAATGAACCTGCCTGTGTGCAGCGTACGTGTGGGTGCTTGTCAAAAGAGATAGTCCGGGGCGCCTGGGTGGCTCAGTCGTTAAGCGTCTGCCTTCAGCTCAGGTCACGATCCCAGGGTCCTGGGATCGAGCCCCGCATCGGGCTCCCTGCTCCGCGGGAAGCCTGCTCTCCCTCTCCTACTCCCCCTGCTTGTGTTCCCTCTCTCGCTGTGTCTCTCTCTGTCAAATAAATAAAATCTTAAAAAAAAAAAAAAAAAAAGAGATACTCCAACAGTTCTACAGGCAGACTCCTGAAGATACTGTGTCCAAACTTTCCAGACTGATGACTCAAACTTACACTGCAGAGAACTAAAGGCATTAATGAACAAAATCAGTATAAATTTCATATTTGAGCCAAATGATAATAGTTTTTCCTTGGGTGAACTAATAGAGGAACATTTCAGCTATATATAACTCTTACTAATAACTGTTTTTGTTTTCCCTATGAGTGGATTTTATACCAGATTAGAGACCCCTAAAACCCAGCATATTCTTTGAGTCTTCACTTCATTCTTTTGTTATGATTAATACTGGTTATGCTCCGTGGGAATTACAGTAAAGGCAATGAGTACTCAGGCAGGGGTCAGGTAGTGTAGTTTGCCATGTTCAGCCTTTGGGAGGAACACTTACAGGTTTCCACTCACTCTGTTTTGATGGTAGCATATATGGTAATAAGTTCACGGTGTCTCGGGTATTTATTTCATCACAGTGAGGTGTTTTTTCTTTAAGGCAGTGTTGGCATTTAATTATTATATTGAACAGTGGGATTTAATCTTATTATTAAAGGTATTGCTAGGTGATTCATTGTGATGTCCAGAGCTACAAAATTTTGTGTTAAGATGGACTGCTATTGATGCCGTGTTACTAGACAGTTTGAGAATAATTCTCTACAGTGGCAGCCAGCTGTGTCTACCAAAGTCTTCAGTTATTTTGCTGACCAATTTTTTTTTTTTTTACTGTAAGTATTCAGAAGTGAGTATCTTCTGCTGATTCTTTCTTAGGGCCTTGAAGCTATATTACCCAGTTTTTCTGTTTCTCCAAAACCGACATAATGTCATCCTAAGGTAGACATAAGAATGCTGAGCAGAATGTTCAACAATCTGCTCAAAATCTGGTGCTCTCAGTGATAAGTCAGCGTTGACAGAGACATCATAAATTGTAGAGCATTATTAACTGGAAGGGACCTTAGAGATCTTTCAGTTCAGTGGGTTTTAAACTTGTGTTTTTGTTAATTTTGAACTTTTTCTTTTTTTTTTTTAAACAAAACCCTGTAGAGCCCTAATTTGTAAAAAGAAAAAAATAACTGATTGGTGGGTGGTGGGTATGGAGGGAGTATCCTGTTGTACTTGATTCCACCCTATGTAGCAGGCCCTAAGGCGGTTTTGTTTGAAAGCATTGAGCCCTTTTCCCCCTTTCTTTTGGCAAAATGCCTGCATACGGGTGCTGAATAATCTGTTCTACTGCAGTTCTGTGTTCTTCAGCTGTGTCACGAATATCTTACTCTGGCTTCCCAGCTAGATAAGAAGCAGCCAGAGGACGAGGTTATCATCTCCTTATGTATTATATTTTACATTCTGTTTGGAGATTGGCAGGCAAAAGCACTCAGTTCCTTTGACTAACTGGTCAGAGAAATTGGATCCTCATTAAAACTCCTGCCAAGGTGAATACTCCTTGATCTAATAATAGTCCCTTCCTCTGTAGGACTCCCCCTCTTCCAAAGACAACTGCCATCTGTTTAGAAGCCATGTTTCCAGTCTCCAATCCTCCTATTTTTTACAAGTAATGTTGGCCTTAAAGTTCTTATCCTAGAATAAATGTTTCTTTTTGTGTGCGTCCCTCAAATAAGATGGCAGGTGGCATGTAATAATGCAGTTTAAAACATTCAAAATAAAGGCACTTAGTGTGTTTGGTAATGAAGAATAAGAATCTGAGAAATAGCAGTTAAATGAATACTTTGAATAATCCTGAAGCCTGTGAACAGATAAACTCATGCTTAATTTTAAGGGGAAAAAAAAAAAAGCACTTCTCTAAAATCCTCAGGGGTGGGGATAGGGGAAGGATTCTCTATTTGGTAATTCATTGATGTAGAACCTACTGTTCATTAGTAATAATTGTTAGTAGGTTGCTGGCAAAAGCCTTGTGATGTTATCTGGCTGCCGCTGGAGATAAAACTGTCTAAGTACCAGCCTCTCATTCCAGAAGTATAATTTCCCAACCAGAGCAGTTAGTAGGGTTTTTATGAGGTTAGAAAATTCTACCTGATGTCCCAACCAGTGTTAGGAGAAATGGAAATCTAGGGCTGAGCCTGGAACTTGTAATTACATGTGAACTAAATGCAGAACTTGAAGTCATGTTTAGAGACAAACTATTGAAAGGTTTTTTTCTGTGTTGCTGTTTATTAGAGTGACTTCTAGGTAATATGGGGGGTGGAAAGCAGGAATTAAAACCTGAAACTGAGGCTGAAAAATTCAACAGTATGCCTCAGAAAAGGCAGAAAGGCAATGCTACAGGATCCATATTTTAAGAATGGGGTTCTGCCTACTGAGGTTGAATTGGTATCTTTTAGAAATAGGTACTTGTACCCTCTGCTACAGTAAGGAGGTGGCTCATGGGAATCAGTAAACTGAACCATAAGAATGGAAAATGGATAAAGGTGACAAACAGAGACATCAAAAAAGGAGCAAGGAGGGCGCCTGGGTGGCTCAGATGGTTAAGCGTCTGCCTTCGGCTCAGGTCATGATCTCAGGGTCCTGGGATCGAGTGCCGCATCAGGCTCCCTGCTCAGTGCAGGGTCTGCTTCTCCCTCTCCCTCTGCCATTCCCTCTGCTTGTGCTGTTCTATCTCTCTGTCAAATAAATAAATAAAATCTTTAAAAAAAAAAAAAAAGGAGCAAGGAATCTGCTACCATTATGGTCATCTAACCCACATAAGGCTTATGCTGTATTCGGGGGTACTAACTCCTTGAGAAAACTAAGGCCCAGGTACGTGGAGAATTGCTGTTGGTGCTGGAAAGATGAGCTGAGTTGTGGTCTTGGTATTTATACTGAGTAGACACAGGGCTCTATGTGGACTCGTTTATAGCTGTGCTGTCTTCCCACAGTGACTCTAGAATGGAATGGAAGGCTGCCATGCGGTATCACACTGAACTGATATTCTCGCTCCATGATCTATCAAGGGGTGACTGAATAGTGAAAAGAAATATCTTTAGGGATTAAGAGGTTTTGAAAAACACATTCAAGGAGTCATTTTCTAAGTTAGAACTTGGGATGGAAATGGAGATTTATACCTCTGAGAGACATATGGCTTCACAGTTACTGTTAACAAATTTTTGGACCATGTGAGATACTTGATTTTTTTTTTTTTTTTTTTAAACCGGAGGTGTAGTGCTTCTTGTAAAGGAAGAGAACGAGATTTTGCTTGAAGGCTAACTGGCCTGATAGAGAGCTGTCAAAATTATATTTTTATTATGTAAATTTCCAACATCTACAAGATGAGGGAGAAAAGTGTAGGGAGCACTGTGCTATCCTCACACAGCTTCAGTTGTTACCAGCAGCATCTCTGTAATATCACAGTCACTGTTCATGTTTTCCTGATTATCTTCTAGATATGTTTCAGTCTGCTCAAGTGGCCGTTCAGACAAAGATCCATACATGAGTTGATGTGGTTTAAGTCTCTTTACTCTTTAGATTCTCATTCCATTTTTCCCTTGCAAATTTTTGTTGTTGAAGAAACTGGATCTTGTGTTCTATGGTGTTCCTAAGGTCTAATCTGGGTTTTGCTGATTGCAACTTCATGGTATCATTCAACATGTGCTTCTCTCCCTTATATTTTCTATAAATTATTATAAACTGCTGTCTAATAGAATACCACTGGCCATACGTGGCTACTTAAATTAATTAGAATTAAATGAAATTAAAAATTCAGTTTTAATTGTCCTAGCCACATTTCAAGCACTTAATAGACACATCTGGCTAGTGCCTGTTATAACAGCAGAGATGCAGAATATTTCCATCATCATAGAAAGTTCAGTTGGATGGCAGTGATCAGATCTAAGTTTATTTTTTTGTACAACTTTTTCACAGGTGGTAGTATGGTGTCTCTCTCTCTCTCTCTGTGTCTTTTTATAGTAAGTGATAATCCAAACATTTAATAGTTCTTTCAGAAAGTAAATTCTGTTAATAGAAATCTGACTTAATCAGACCATTTTTCAGTTGAAGAAATAAGTGTTCAAATTGGAATGTAATTCTCCTCAATCATATACCTTTTTTTAAAAATGAAGTATAGTTGATATAAAATTAAATTAGTTTCAGGTGTACAACACATAGTGATTTAGCAATTACTTACATTACAGAATACCAAAATAAGTATATTGCAGTATTACTGACAGTATTCCCTGTGCTGTACTTTTTATCTCCGTGACTTATTTATTTTATAACTGGAAGTTTATACCCCTTAATTCCCTTCACCCATTTCATCCATTCTCCCCAACTCCCTTCTCTTTGGCAACCTCCAGTTTGTTTTCTGTATTTATGAGTCTATTTCACTTTTGTTGTTGTTTTTTAGTTCATTTGTTTTATTTTTTAGATTCTACATATAAGTAAATCAGAGTTTTTTTGTCTTTCTCTGTCTGGCTTATTCATTTAGCATAATA